GAGGAGCAGAATTTTCAGACATGTACAAGTTTTGAAGGTCATCTGGCAGGTCAGTCAGAGCTGCCACTCCTTCAGGCCCAACATACAGTTTTTTCACACCAACTGTATTTTTCCTCTCAGATGTTTCTATCTTCTGGATACAGCTGTCCCAAAGAGCATCAAAATCATCATTTTTATCACCACACAATAATTAAAATTGCAATGCATGGGATCAACAGGTTCAGTGTACTTGTGAAGGACTGAAATCCATGGAAGCCATAAATTGAATGTATGTACAAGATCAGTGTTTTCAGGAGAGCTTACAAGTCCCCACCAAACGTCAGCTGAAGAATCAAGATGCATGTCAACACCAGAGGGTGTGGTCTGCAACATCTGTCTGAATGTGGCTTTTGGAGTTGCACACCTTTGAACAGAGCCGTCTGGGAAAGTGATGTCCACATGGCATGATGACATCATCATGGTAACATTCAGAGAACACAAAATATCACGTGCCAGAAGATTCACGGGACAGGATGGAGAAAGTAGAAACGAATGATGAAACGAGAGATTGTTTCATCTACAAGGAACTTCTTCAGAGAACGGCCACTCCTCTTTCAAACCCGAGAAGCTGATAACAGATGTAGTACGCTGTGAACGTGGGAGTGGCGAGTTTAAAGTAGAGTACATTGCTCCTGAGTCAATCAAACACAAATGATCTCGACCGTTGATAGTCACTCTGACTAGTGGTTCAAGAAACATTGTCTGTGGACTCAGAGAATCACCTGTTACAGACTTTCGGCAGCCCTATTGCTGAGGCATCTGATTTGATCCAGGTGCCTGATATAGAGCTGAAGGTGAACGTGGTAGTACATTAGCAACCTGAGCAGGACATGCTCCTGCTGGTCCTGGCACCTACTGATAAGGAGCTGGGCAGTTTCGCGCCCGGTGTCCTCTCTTGTGACAAATCAGACATCTGTCATCTCTCACAAGAGTTCTCCTGTTTGCCCTGGAGCCTTGACCTCGTGATCTTTGTGTGTTGTGTAAAAAAGCAGAAGGCTGTGCATACATCTGCTTATCTGCAGCTTTGTGTTAGTTAACTTTGTCTATCATCTCTTTAAGCTGTGCTTTTGTCAGCTGTCTGTAATATTCCCCCATGGACAACAACCAGTGGCGAAATATGTTGATTACTCACAGCAGGAGTAACTAATGGCATCTGATGTGATACATTACTGTTAAACTTTGTCTCCAAGCTCCCTTCATGCAGAGGAGCCAGAGAGGGAGGACGGGGTGAGAGTGTCAGTGAGTGACCTTGAGCTTGTTGCAGGCTGTTATCTACGTCTGTATGTGTGTGCACCTGAGAGAACAGCCCTCTGTCTGTGTGTCTCATTCATGCTGGCTGTAACGTTCAGAATTTTTTCAAATTCTGCCAAAAAGCAGAGACAGTCTTAAAAAAATGTTTCACAGTGTTTAAGTTTAGCCTCTGTTTTGTGTTTCTGTAATAACGACGCTCGACTATGGCGCAGACGTGCCTTGGCAGCTGACAGTGCTGCCTGTTTCACATACAGTCTTAGAGCTCCCTCTTCTGGGGGAGCTTTGTCATAGGTATCAAACATGCCTTTTTCACTCATTTGTTCAGACCATAACATAAAATGCTGTTTTTCATTACAGTGTTGACTTGGATGCAACATGCCCAGCCATTTGTTTAACAGCTGATACAAAATAGCACCACAAGACCCTGATTTGCATTTCTGCCAGTCCTGAATAATATTACAATCAGCCATATTGAAGGATATTATGCCACATGTGACGATGTCCATTATGAGAGGTCTTGGCCCAGTGGATCAGCTGAACTGCGAAAATTCTACGTCAGGCTACTCCTAGCGCGTGCAGTTCCTAGGGGTTCCCCCAGCCGATTGACACCGTTTTATCTCATAAGGACAGCCGCCACCCTAAGACTAATACACAGTTCCCCCGTAAGCTGTTCCACCCAGACCAAATACACAGCTGCACAAGGTGCGTTGAATCACAGTGAATTCTCACAACCGAACCTATTTGTCCAGCTCTGATACGACTGTGAACAACATTTAATCAGCCTGTTGTGCAGTTAACAACCCGCACATTTTCCTGGAAAACAACAAACTGGCCATTTCCCTGTGCCGTTATTACGTTTTACGATTTGCCAGAGATCATCTTGGTCAGTCAAGATGACTCCCTGCCTGTGCTCCAACCGGAGGCAAATAAAAAAGAAATCAGACTTTTGGAGGGGACAACCTGCTGTAAGGTAGCGGAGTTTCACTCATAAAACATGAATTTTGCGTCCCTTATTGGTATCAAATTCTGTAATCACGGCACTCATTCTCTATCCCTCAAAGTGAGATTATGTGCTTATTAACTTTTACATCATTCCAAAACAAATGTGTTCTATTATCCTTACTGTTTTTGAATCCAATTTAATGCATCGAGAGTGGGCAGTCCACACATCAACAGAATTTGGGACAAGATTCAATGTGCAGGCATTTATGTATAACAAAGGTTCCTGCTTACCTCGCGTTGGTGGCCGGCCAGTTGATGTGTGGCACCACAGCACAGCTCGACAGAGACCCAGGAAGTCACTCTTCCATTCTCGGAATCGCAGCCAATTCAGGATTGAATGTTGGATTTACAGCTCAGCCAGGCACAGGATTATGGCACCTTGTTGATCCGGGACAATGGACCAGTCATCTGAGAGTTCAGCCAGCTCACGAGGTCACGGCACCAATTGTTGGGACCCAGTTCTTTTCACCATGCTAACTCTGAGAGACGAGGCAATCCAAGTAACTTCAAAACAGTGCTGAATTATTCAATGAACACAGGCAAAAGTTAACATTACACGCTCAGGAGTCATGCACGCAGGCAGCTAGAAGATGAAAAGCCCTGAACCATAACAGGGCTATACATTATATCCCCTCGGTTGGGCTAGCCCCATACTACTCAGAGACGCCAAACCGTGACATCTCCGGTGCCAGCTTTGCAGCTGGCCCTAACAATAGTCAAAGCATGAAGAAAAATCAGTGTGTGTTTGTCTGTTGATTGTGTGGTGTGTATCTAAGACATTCTGACATGACATTAAGCATAACAAAATATGACTACAATTGTGGATAAACACATAATAATAATAATAATAAAACATTCTGTCTTCTAACAATAATCAACTTTCCATCTAGTTATCCTTGAACCTAAACAACCTGTAGTACCCCATGAGAATGACTAAGCATTTAACAGCCTGAGCTAGACATCCTGTCTACACTAAACATTTCTAATACATAAAGTATCTAACCAATGTCTATCTGACTAAAAATACCGAAACAATAGGGACATGGACAGCCATGCTAGGCAAAGTCTTTACAGCATATGGATTTTCAAACTATTCCAACATTTTTTGTTAACCGTACAATATGGGCTTGCCACAATGCAAGAGAAAAACTTAAGAACTAAAAGAGGTCAGTTTCCAAAACCACAACTTCCATTTCAACACATCTGCACGGTCTCCATAAAATTAAACAAGGGTGAGGGAAAGAAATTCTGCCTTGTAATAATAGACATATTGAAGTGCTTCTCAGAACTCATAACCCCCAAATACCATACATTATTTCACAATTTACACCTTTCCAATGTCCAGATGAAGAGGCTGAACAAGCCTTGGAAGAGTACATGACATAAAATGAAGAAGTTGTTTGTGCTAGTTCCATTCCAGGAGACCAGTGGAGCTGCAAATCAAAACTATGAAATCTGGAGAGGGGGTGCTGCTGAAGGTGATTAAGAGAAAAAACTGGTCCAGTCCAAGGTAGTAAGATCCATACCAGGTATTGCTCACCACACCTACAAAAATACAATAGCTGAGAGGAGATGCTAGATTCATCTATCTGACTGTAAGCTGGTGACACCCTTATTCTCATAACTCAGGCCAGGGACAGTCAGATTCCTGACAAGTAGAAGAAGGGCCAGGAAACCAGCTGAGAAACAGATGTCACATCTTGATTTGATTTGATTTATTCTTTCTCCTCCCTCAGGTAGTTTTTAAAGTATTAATGCATCTCTAGTGGAAAAAAAGAGTATAATATAATGACCTTGAAATCAGGATGTGTTGTCAAAATGAAAAGTTTGAACAAATGATGTTTACTGTTTGACCCCATTTTACCTCACTGAAGTAGTGCATTGGCACAAACCTACAAGGTCCCTCAGATCTTTGAGTCAGTATTTTTAGAAGTTCCTAGAGCCAGGTATAAATGCTGGGGTGACCGTGCTTTTACTGTTGCAGCCCCTAAATTGTGGAACAATCCTTGTGTTCTGTTTAAATGTACTACACACTTCCTCTGTTCGGGTCTGTCAGACCCGGAGCATCTTTATGGCTGTGTAACTCCACATAATCAAAGATGTTTTATTCTTAAACAGTGTAAAAACCTACTACTGATCAACAAATGTTAATAATTGTTAGATTATATTACATAAGGGTTAAAACTATTTGGCCAGAGGAAAAAAATAATACATTTACAAATAAAGTAAGATTTTTCACACCTGCTCATTTCTATTTGAATGACACGCATTGAACGGGTTGGGGACACATGTAGGGAAGTCTGCCAAACAAGCACAAGCTGAGCACTCAGTAGCTATTTACACAACAAAGTCCCCCATTTGCAAAGTGTTTTGTACTATACGCTCCCTCTGTTCGGCTCCCCTGGACCCGGAGCATCTTTATGGCTTTGTCAGTCCACATAATCAAAGATGTTTTATTCTGAAACAATGTAAAAACCTACTAATAATCAACAAATGTAAAAATTTGCCCTTTACCTATGTTATAGTAATATTTGGCTAGATGAAAAAAATAATAAATTCACAAATGATGCAAGATTTTTCACACCAGGTCATTTTTATTTGACCCACACTCATTTCAACATACAGGAAACTTTGCCAAAAAAACACAAGCTGAACAGTCAGTAACTATTTACATATTTACACATATTTACACATTTACACACACACACACACAGCCAGCCCCCATTGAATGCAGCAATCCTATGCATCACAATCAGGGCAGTGTCTTCGTGTGTGTGCGTTGCAAATATATTTTTTGCACTTGGTGCATGTGTACTGTGTCTTCCTCTCCATCTTGGGTCCACACAATGGTTGTGGTTTTGGCAGCAACCTAGAAAAATGAAAAGATAAGAAATTAGAATTTGCACTTACTCTCTCTCTCTCTCTCCCAAAGCATGAGTGTCACACATACAGTATTATGCCACAGCATTACACACTTACCTCAGGCACTGGTGGTTGTGGACCTGTAGGTCTGGTGGATGGGCCAGAAGCATCCTCCCCCTGAATCCTCCTCACGATGGCCACAGAGGATGGTGTTCTAGGAATATGCTGCCTGGTCTGGATGTAGGGTGTCACCAGGGCCTTTCCCAGTTCCTCCATGAAAAATCTTCTTCTCTGGAGCTTATGGTAGTTCCAGTGTGGGTTGACTCCCAGCCACAGGACAAAAGCGTTGTATGCTGAGATGTCCAACATGTCAGAGAAGATCACCTGGGGCCAGCTTCTTTTGCAGGTGTAGGCAGTGACCAGCTTGTCAATGTTGTCCACCCCTCCTTTTGTGGCGTTATAGTCCAAGATAATTTGTGGTTTTTGGCCACAGATTGTCCCATCCCGATGAAGTGTGCTCATCAACAGCACATTCATTCCTTTTCTCGGAACACAGGACACCAGGGATGTGTCAGCCGTGTACATAAACATGGAGGAATTTATAGGCCTGTCCTTTGTCTGCAGCAGTTGGGGTGGGAGCTCTGGCTTGTTCTTACGGATCGTTCCCACCATGGTCAGCTTCCTCTTCAGCAGTTCCTGTCTCAGCTTGTAAGAGGTGAAAAAGTTGTCGCAGGTAATGTTGTGTCCCTTGAGTTTTTCACACAGGTCCAGGACAACTCTCATCGCCTGATTACGCTCGGGGACTCCTCCCTCAGGTTTCCCTGTGTACACCTGCAGGTTCCAGGCGTATGACGTAGCGGCATCGCAGGCAGCTGTGAAGTCCCAGACTTCTTCTCGAGTCCAGATAGTGGAAAGAATTTCAGTCACACACCAAATATCAAAGTGCACTATTACCTTTATTTGCAGATATATCTGGAGATCATACAGCTAGCAGCAGGGCAGATGGTCTGAGGTGCAGTTACATCCTATTCTGAGGTGCAGTTATATCCTATTCTTCCCCCTCCCATACACATTCTTCATTATGCAGCTGGAATTTATCATTACTTCCCCAAAGATAACTCCCCTGCATCAGAGCTGTTCCAAGCACAATTCCTTAATACCAAAGTACATTCTGTGATTAAGTGAGCACACACTGTTAATAATCAAGTGAACACACACACTGTAACAATTGAAGGTTATATTCCTTATAAGTTCATTCATTCATTTTCTACCGCTTAGTCCCTGAACGGGGTCACGGAGCCAATCCCGGCCAGCAATCGGGCGAAGGCGGGGTACACCCTGGACAGGTCGCCAATCCATCGCAGGGCTAACACATAGACAAACAACCAGACACACACACATGCACTCCTATGGGCAATTTAGAGACACCAATCAACCTAAGCTGCATGTCTTTGGACTGTGGGAGGAAGCCGGAGTACACGGAGAGAACCCACGCAAGCACGGGGAGAACATGCAAACTCCACACAGAAAGGTCCCAGGTGGGGCCCGAACCTGGAACCTTCGTGCTGTGAGGCAACGGCGCTAACCACTGTGCCACCGTGCTGCCCTCCTTATAAGTTCATTTATAGAAAACAGTGCTGGTGCTTCAGTCTAAGTGAAGGTTATATTCCTTATAAGTACATAGAAAACGGTGCTATTGCTTCAGTTACAATGTCTCAAGCAACTTAATATTCCACAGAGCCCAGATCTTGATGCCATACTTAGCAGGTTTTGATGGCATATACTGCCTGAATGGGCAGCGGCCCCTAAACGGCATCAGCTGTTCATCAACAGTGACATTAGGCCCAGGGTTGAAAAGCGGGGGGGGGGGCGGTGCACCCACTTGTCCCACACCGTCCTGATGGCTGCAAGCTTGTCTGTCTGCCGTCGAGCTGGTCTGTCGTCTCGGTTATCGAACTGGAAAACCCTGGAAATGATCTGGAATTTGTCCAAGAACATTGTTGCCCGGAATATTTCCCTGCCGGTTTCAGCTGACCACAGGGAATGCAGTGATTCTCCATTCGATTTGAAGACTCCAGCCAGGTACAGCAAACCAAGGTAGGCGTACATCAGGATCATGTCCATGACCTTCCACTTTTCTCCATATACACGCCTACCTTCTCGGTTTGTGCAGTCCAGGATAATTTGGAGGATCGAATCTGGCATTAGCAGATGGAAGGTAGACCTGATGTCCGTGACATGGCTGATTGCCATTCTAGTTGGGCCTGGTTCCATTGTTATTACATTAGCTGAAAGGCGGGGTGGCTGCTTTGATGGGCAAGAAGACCATGAAATGTCGCCGGCTTTTGACAGACAAGAAGACCTCGCCAGGAATTTCCGCCTCAACAGACGGTCCAGGAGCTGGCTCAGCCTGTAATAGTTTCAAAATAATAAATCACAATTACAATAAATTCTCCAACAGAGCACATCGTATCAAACAGACTGTATATTGCATTGTTATAGCTTACTTCTCCCTGCTGCTCCGCGCTTTCAGCCACGCGCTCCACAGAAACACTTCTTTTGCTTTTCCTTTTTCTTTTCCCGCTTGAGGATGGCAGAAAACACAGCAATGATAGCAAAGGTTGCAAATGAGAATGCTCTAACTATCACACAGAGCATATTTTATCAAACAGACAGTGTATTGCACTGTTATATACTTACTTCTCCCTGCTGGGCCGATGGCGCTCTGCGCTCCGCGTAGAAAGCCCGAGCGCTTCTGTGGCTTGAGGATGGCTGAAAACAGTAATGATAGCAAAGGTTACAAATGAGCAAGCTCTAACTATCACACAGAGCATATTTTATCAAACAGACGGTGTATTGCATTGTTATATACTTACTTCTCCCTGCTGGGCCGATGGTGCTTCGCGCGCAGTGTAGAAAGCCCGAGCGCTTCCGCGACTTGAGGATGGCTAAAAATACAGTAATGATAACAAAAGTTTCAAATGAGCAAGCTCTTAACTATCACAGAGAGCACATTTTATCAATCAAACGGTATATTGCATTGGAATCAAAGTCTTACCTCAGTACTTGGAACGAAATCTTCGTCCAAGATATCATCATCGAAATTGCTTTCGCTTTGTGAAACTTCGGAGATGTGGTCCTCAGTTTCAGAAATCTCCTCGTCTTCATCTCGATCAAAAACTTCTCTCTCCTCTAAGATCATCTTCAGGGCCATGTCGTCGGAGAATTGGCGTGCCATAGTTGCTGCTTCAGCGTACAGTAGAGAAAGGAAGAAGTCATCCAGCTATCCTTGTTTTATTCTCTCTGGCCAACACCTGGGGGGGCGTAGCCTTTCAAGGTGACCATGGAGATGCAAATAGCATGGCCATACTGATTGCGCCAGGTGCAGACATTCTCTGCAACTCAGGATGAGCTGTAATTACTCTGTCTTTGTAGCAGAGGGCTGTCATGGTGACCATGGAGATGCAAATAGCATTGCCATACTGATTGTGCCACATGCAGACATTCTCTGCAACTCAGGATGAGCTATAATTACTCTGTCTTTGCATATGAATTACAAACCTGTGACCGGCTGTGCCATTTCTGAGATGTGCCTCGCTGACACTCCTTTATCCTCTCTATGCGCGTTAGCGAGGCTCGCCTTGCGGTAACCACAACATAATAAATTACAAATATGAACCAGTATCTAACACTCCCAGAGCACATTTTATGAAACAGAATGTGTTTTTTACAAATGAATTACCAACCTGTGACCAGCTGTGCCATTCCTGAGACGCGCCTCACTGACGCTCTTTTCTCCTATCTATCCGCTCGTTTTACGTGTTATTTTGAATCACCCAGGAGAAATGTTGTCCTCCAATTATGAAATTTCTTCGTCTGCTTCAACATCAGAATCTTCTCTTGCCTAAAACTCATTTCCATGGCCGTCTGACTACTAATGCGCTTGACGCGCATACTGTGGATAGTGCGCAAGGGGGAGACTGGTCTCCAGATCGATGTGCTCTAAATATTCTGTCTGCCCAGCAACAAGGGTGGGTGTCGTCTTTCAAGGTGATCATAAAACATGCAAATAACCCTCATAACTGACAAGGACACCCACCAATAGGTTGTAAACATGGCACACTGGTCACATCAACAGTAAGTGGCTATCTGACCAAGAGCACCCGCCCCTGCTTGTCTGGTTGAG